TGAGCCGGGCTGGCCGCAGCTGCTGCGCGCTCGGGGGCGGTCATCTGGAGCATGCTTACAGCTTTCAGGGCTGCAGCGCCTGAGCACCGCACAGCCTGGGAGGCGTCTGTTGTTATCGCTGCCCCCCGCCAGCGTACCGGGAGCGGGGGAGCTGAGATATCGCACGTCCGATCTGTAGCGCAACACGTATTTGGCCCCCGGCTTGGGGCTGGCACCAAAGGCTGACGGGCGACCAGAACTGACCGCAGCAGCAATGGGTACCTGCTGCCCAGCCAGGTTGGATGAGGGGAGGGGGATGGAGGCAGAAGTGCTCACCCTCTCGCTCTTCCTCTTTGACTACAGGTGTGCTTCATCGGACGAAGCAACGTGGGGAAATCCTCTTTAATCCGGGCCTTGTTCTCACTGACTCCAGAGGTGGAGATCAGAGTGTCGAAAAAGCCGGTAAGTGCCATTTTTTACTCTCCTCCTCCTTGGTCAAAAGCCAGTGCTAACCCAGACGATGAGGCTGAGAAGGGTGAGAGGAAGCAAGGTCTCAGGTGACTCAAAGTGGTAGGAGCGCATGGCAGCCAGCTCGTGGCCAATACGGGCCTTGCTATTGCAAGGATGAGGCGGAAGGAGACCAGTTTAGCTCTGCGGGCAGGCCTGGCACGCTGGGCAAATAGAAGAGTCTTGCAAGCTGAACACGCGTGATGTAAAGCCCTTTGAGAAGAACCAAGCAAACAGCCCTACGAAGGTATTTTTAGTCCCTTATTTTAAGGATGGAGCCATACCTGATCCTTACGAGGGCTAGAGACTAGACTGCTTAAAGCAGCAGCAGCATTTTTGCTGCCTTCTCTGAGCGGGGTACAGTACAGAGTTATTCAGTAGGGCATCTCCACCCTATATGAGGCTCATTCACTGTTTAAAGCAACTTTTTAAACCCTGCCCCCGAATCTTATCTTCTTTAAAAAATTCTTCCCTCCCCAGGGCCACACAAAGAAAATGAATTTCTTCAACGTAGGAAAGTATTTTACTCTGGTGGACATGCCAGGATACGGCTACCGTGCCCCACAGGACTTTGTGGAGATGGTGGAGGCCTATCTGCAGGAACGGCACACGTAAGGGAGCATCTGAATGTGCTGTAACTTAACTTCACCTCAACAGAGCAGTGACACCTGGACACTTGTATACAGTGTCGTGTAATTAGAAGGAAAAAATGCAGGAGTTACTTCAAGCAAGGGTATTGATTAGTTCTGAAGTCATTTCCCTGGGAACCTCCATGGTGATAACCGTGGTTTGAGTCACTCGTTCATGCTTAGACAGATCAAAATATCAGAAAAGATTAAGGTGCTGCTCTGTACCAACCCTCTCAGCTCTTATGTATGGCTTATCTTGGCTCTTCCTGTCTCCAAATCCTGTTCCTTGTTCTTGCGTATGTATTTGGAAATAGCACAGTAGCCATGAAATAATGGTCGTGGTTTTTGGTATCTGTATTTCTGGCAGCTTGAAGAGGACTTTCTTGTTAGTGGATGGAGTAGTAGGACTCCAGAAAACAGATCATATCGGTATAGAGATGTTGGAAGAGTTTGGGATTCCATATGTGGTAAGTAACACTGCATTCTTGAAAAGGCAGAAGCAGCATAACCTGCGCTGGTTATAAGCCAAAGGTAATCTATAAATGCGCTTACTCTCTGTATGAGCTTATTTAGGCAAGTTGTATCCTACCTAAGTAGTAGTGTCCTCCCCTCCGTACCCCACTTCTTTATTGTTAATAAAATAGGCCTGAAATGCACGTCTTGTCTTGGGAGGCTTTTTGAGGGGGTTTAGCTTGATTTATTAAAACGGACACTTTTTTCAGTGCTCAGTTTGAGGGTCTTGAAAGGGTCTGGTCCTTACACAGTCTATAGAAGTGCTTAGATCAACTGCACTGTACCATTTTTCCACTTAGATAAGATCCAGAACTTTCAGCCCGCTTTGTAAGGTGAATCATTCTTACAAATGTTCCAGGCTAGCAGCAAAATCATCTTTTTCTCTCAATCCTTCCTGTTTGAACCCACGCAGCTGGTGCTAACAAAAATCGACCGAGCTTCCAGGGGACTGTTGCTAAAGAACGTACTGGAGATCCAGGAGTTTGTAAAGGAGAAAACTCAGGGATGCTTTCCTCAGCTATTCTTGGTCAGGTAAAGCTCTTCTCCGTTGCTGCCGTTTCCTTCCTCGTGATGATCAGCAATAGGACAAACTACCTGAAATGGGTCCATCTGTCCCAGAGGCGATACTTTTCTGTGCCCCAAGGATGGAGGGTGGGCTGCTTGTGGTAACTGCCCTTTCCTTCTTCCACATCCTCTGCAAGTGAGTGGAGTTCAGTTTTCAAGGCTGCTTCTTCCTTTGGCCTTTGGGCTGAGAGGGGCAGCCGTACCTATGCTGTGTGACAGCGGGCTTTGTCAGGCACCTGCTTACGTGCTTGTGGTCGTTTCGTACAGTAGCGTAGTTTGGAGTTATGTGACAGTAGCAACCCTTAAGTGTTTGCTTACGTAGCTGAAGTTTTTGCTTTATCAAAGTTGTACTGCACTATGGGGGATGTAATGTAATGTACCCAGTGGCTGAGTTTGGTTATATTAGTCCAAGATGCAGCAGTGATCAGGCACTGAATGTACACACCTTTGTTTCCATAGTTCTCTGGAGTTTTCAGGTGTTCACTTGCTAAGGTGTTTCATAGCCCATGTTACTGGAAACCTGCCTGTTGCAGAGACCAACTAAAAAGACTGGTTCCTGATCTGCTTGGCACATCCAGAACAAAAGGTACCAAATCTGGCTTTTTTTTTTTTTTTAATAACCTGAAATACTGGAACTTATATTTTGGATAAATTTGTCTAAGGTTTTGGTTAAATTAATATTTGTAAGGATAAGCTTTTTGTTTAATAAACTCATTCAGGAAATTTGCGCTGCAATGGAATGCACTTTATTATCAAATGGTTTTATAAAACCTATGTGATTGTGCCAAGAAGGGAAAAACAAAGAGAACCTACTCTACAGAGGAGCTAGGTTTTAATACAGCATTTCCTCTCTCTCTCTCCAGCTAACTGTTCAGAAAGCTACTACTGCATGCCTAAATTCTGCTGTATTTAGGATATTAGAGACAGTCTAGTAATCTGATTAATAAAAAGGCATTTAGTTTAGAAAAGAAAAGTTATAGCTCTTAATATTAAACAAGCCATGCTTGCCAACTTGAATTGAATGACATTGAGAAGTTCACCAGTCTCAACTTATTTCACTACCTGCTGTAAGACTGTCTGGAGTAGAAATGGCCAGCACTTAATTTGTGAAGGTGTTTTTAGGAGAGATCTGGCTGGGAAGCTGCATTGTGTAACTCCTCTGCCTCATGCATTCAACAGGTGCAGTGTGATAGCGTGCCTTACTTGTATACACCAAGTTGTCCCTGTTCTAGGTGGATGAACGAAAGGACACATCTTTAATGGGATCTACCTTTCGATTACTGTTGACTTGGAACAGAGTGAGATAAATGAATGACACCTAGGGGAGCTGTCTCCTCCTGCACTTTATCATCGGTCAGTGCTGCATTTACCTTCCAGCATGAAGTTCTGCAGCTGTACTCTGAACTGCCAGAGATGAGACATGTTGTTTGTTTTATGCATCTGTTCTACACTGGGAGCTGAAGCACAATAGTGAGGCCCCGTATTCTTTGCAAGCACTGTAACAGCTGGCAAAACTTTGTCCCACAACAGCTGTATCCAGCTAACAGCACCCAGCACCCATCCTGGGGAGACCGAAGCTGGGTAGTTACAATATCAGAAAGAGTCAGAAAAGGGGACTGTCTTAATAGCAGTAATCATACACGAAAATTTAGATCAAAGCTATTAAGTGCTGATGTCAAACTCTGACACTGTCTTGTTGAGTATTAGGATTGCCAAAGGTATGTATACGGTTGTCAGCGTTACTTACATCAAGTGTTTAAACCTCATGAAAGAGTAATTCTTCCATAAACCACTCGAGAGTTAGAAGGTGGTATTTCTAGTGTTTTGCTTTATTATGGAATTTCTTTTAACTCACAGATTAGACGTGAGATAGGGCTTATTTCCCCATATGTGTAGGAAGCGGCAGTGTGTGATGAATGCAATAGAAAGAGGTGGATCTCTGGTTTGCACACCTAAGCAGAGATCACACCTGTAATTCTCAATATTTCACCTCCAATCCTAAAGTGCTCCAGAGCAAACCAGCCCATGTGATGCTTCTACGGGGGGAAGTGCAGCAGTATAAGGATAGATGGAATAGGTGCAGGTCAACGTTTCAGGCATAATCTTTTGTTTAAAAAAAATAAAACCAGCATCTTTCAAAAGCATCAATCTAGTCTGTAATTCTAAAGGCCTCAGCTCTAATTGAAGAGCCTGTGCTGCAAACTGCCAGCCAGTATCCTTTCTCAAACTGTAACTGCTTTGTTAATGAGATTAGATTGCAGGAAGAGTGCATCTGAACTGGGAGGATAGCAGTACGTTTAAAAAAAAAAATCTTTTAACAAGAAGTGGCTATCCTATGTGATAGATACTAAGCAACAATGTGTGTGCTGTGTTAAACAGAAGTTCATGACCTCAAGGTTGTTCATGGCGTCTCGAACAGGCTCAGCAGCTCCTTCACTGTGGGGCCTTGGACTGTTGGGCCCACTTCTACAGTCATACAGGAGGTTGTACGATGAGGTAGTGCAGGATTTCAACTCAGTCTTTCAAGAGGCCCCCTTCCTACCACAAACACAGTAATTAAAAACAACAACAACAACAATAAAACTACCTAAAGCTTCTGTGGGAGAAGTTCATCCATCTTCCAAACTTCTTTCAATGGTTTTAGAGCAGTTCTGTTCTCTACTACCTTTGTATTCATCTTCAAGAAATGGGATTTCATTAAAATCAGTTCAGCAACTTATCTCTGGCCCCTTTGTCTCTCCTTTCTCTGACATCGTTAGCCTAGTTTGGGCTAACAGCATAAGACCTATCTTATTAAAAAAGAAAAAAAGCATTGTTTGTTTAGATGTCTACAGAAGTCAAGGATTACTACAAAGACAGTGAAAGAGGACATAGGGTTCACGTTCTGCTTGTTCTCTGGCTGAGGGGAGGTCATGCTGAGCTGTGCTTGGCACCTGGACAAGGAAGGACTGCCACAGCCAGGACTTCTAGATGCCGCTGCTGCGTTCTTCACGAAACGCTCAATTACAGCAGGCCTTGAGCGGTGCACACAGGAGTTGCCAGAACACGCCACGCTGATTTGAGGCCTGCTTCTGATGAGAGAGTCAACTCCATCCTCTGGGTTAAATTTAACTTAAAAGTTGTGGCTGTGGGTAACTGCCACGCTTGTGGGAATTAGCTTCGGTTGCAGAGCTGTTTTGTGATACTCGGCCAATTGTGCTTCGATCTATGAAGTCTTGAGAGTTGTGAAAAGGAGAGACTTAACTGAAAAGACTGAACATCCATTCCTGTGCTTCCCTCGTTCTAGGGCTCGTGACATGCATGTTTTCCTTTTGGGTTTGTATCCTCGCTGTCAAGAGCGGTGAGACCATCTGATTGCTTCTCTTGAAAGCCGCCAGCAGTTTCACTCTCCAGCTCTTTGCTTTTAGCATACTTCAGCTCCTCATCATATACTACTTTTGCTCCAGCTCTAGCTCCTTGGTGAGCTTGCTGATAGAGCTTGCCCAGAGTTAATTTTTCTCATGGTTTATCTTATGTTTGCAGCTGTGTAATACTGATTACGCTCAGCATGTTGCATTCGGGTAGCTTCCTCCTTCAGAGCGCCAACTTCCAGTCCTGCATAGACATCAACGGAAAGAGGGGTACACGTCTTAACTCCCGCGCTGAGACACATCTGCTCACTACGGTCAGCCTGCTACTCCTGCCGCTTTAGCTCCTCGGTCTTACTTTATAAAGGGCAATGCAAGTTATGCCTACGAGCCTCCGGAGTCCTTGCCCCTCCGCTGACCGTTGCGGACACTGGCAGGAGTCCGGGGAGCGTTCAGAGCGCAGCAGCTCCCCGTGCAGACGCGCACGCGGGAACCTGGCGGGAGCCCGGCAAGTCGCAGCTGCGACGCTGCAGGGGGGCCCGGCGCGCG